TTTTGATGTTACTATACTATAGGAAGATAGGGCAGGAATCAAATAATGGTCAACTTAATGCATTAGCCCGATTAGGATTAACATAGGAGATCAACTCAAATGATCAAAAGCTTAAACTTAGGCACACACATAAATATTTTCAAACCGAAATGACTTTATTAATAAATTAAATAATCATAAATTTAAGTCAAATTAATTAAGACTAATATATATTATTAGACTATGCATAAAAGTCAAATTGATTGCATCTGACGATTAAAAGGGGAAAACGAACATGATCGACTCCATTCGTTCTAGACTAGTCGAATTACCTATATACGACGAAATAAATTGAAAAGATAAACGAGACGTCAATTTTATGTGTTTGATCATCTTTTGGTTAGAAATAAACAAGAGCTCTGATATCATATTAGAAAATCTAAAATGTGATGATATCAAGAAATCATAGATCAGTATAAGGTAAATAGAGACTCTTCAAAAACCAAAAACTCTAAATAAGAATGAAATTTACAATCTCTAATATCGTAATCTCGGAGAGTTTGCTTTAATTCATCACTTCAGATGCCTATAAAGAGGATAACTCAAAATCTTATATTAACTAAAACTCTTAAACCAAAATCCAAATCATAAAGCTTAACTCAATAAATATTCCAACACTACAGACTTGGACGATGGTTTTTGAAGTCTGATTTGACCTGATCGTGTGCGACTAATAACATAACGACCGGGGGATTCTACAGAAACCAGTAAGGGTCTTTTGTCTCGTATCAGCTTATCCTACTGCCACTAATCAACTAACATCAACAAAATGATGCTCCTCAAATACCACACTGAACACAGTATTTTTCTTCCATCGATGTCTGTCATTTTAATAACTACATGTTCAAGTTGTAACACAAAAGTAGTAAACTCTACAAGGAAGATGGTGGGGGGTACAGTTCCTCAACTCACTTCACACAACAGGGTGTTTTGGATAGAAGAATTCTGTTCATTGTTCTATACTATGATTAAACTGATCTAAACGAAAAGCATCCCAGTTTATGGTATGTTAACGGAGTCAGAGGTGTCGAAGGTCTCAAAGGCAACAAGCTGCTACTTTTAGTACGTGGTTTCTTCAGCAATCTATCTTCACCTGCGTACATGACCCCACGTAGCAAAATGCACGATGCTTGTGCTAGTCTCTCCTCCTGGAAGCAAGAGATGCAGCTGCTGCTCGCTGCAAAAGTAAGGAAAGCATCAGACAATGACGAACCTTTTAGATTGCAACAGTAGTCAGATGATGATTACCGACATCAAATGAACAAAAGAAAGTTATATGAAGGCTTCAGCCCCTGATCTCCAAGGATTCTAGGTGAGATCATGAAGATGCCAAAAGATCAAAATGCCAACTTTCTCTGTAATTTAATCCCACACAAACTTGATACTTCAGTTTAATGTAAATAAGCAATATTACTTTTTTTCTTTCCTAACAGGAAATATTACTATGATGTTCTGAAACAAAAATAGAATGAAGCAACCAATAAGACAAGTAGAACAGTGAAAAATGAAACATGATACATGATTACTGCTCATCGTCAAACCATTCTCCTTTTATCTCAACTGACCAAATACTTAATAAACCACGGAACCGATTAGAAATTTTGAAATATTAATATTTAAAAAGTGCGGTTGGTTTCAAAAGTTGATTAACACAGGTATTGTTCTTCACGGCATCACGCACCACAAATTTCAACATCTATCGATTTCTCTAGAGAAACTAAGGATTCCGAGAACAAGATGTCAAAGCCTCGAGAAAATTAATGTAAGCTGAACTGTCCCAGTAATATGTGATGTTTTTCAGCAATATGGTCGCATAAGTTTGTTGGCCACAAAATGTAAAAGACTAACATAAGCTACTCCATGCTATCAGAACAATATGCAATTCACAGTTTCACGGACTATGATTTAGCATGCGTGTCTCCGAGCCTGTGACCTTGATATCAATATAGAATTTTGATAAGTGAGTTTGGGCGATAACATTTACACAAGCCTTACAATTGCCAACAAGGAATGAAAATTATTAGCCACCAAAAAATGGGTGCTTTCTAGTGAAAGCAAACTCACCTTAGCTCGAAAAGATCTAATTGCCGCTAGTAGAATCTTGTCCCCCGCTACCTGTCGAATGCGGGATACCAGCTGCTGCCGAGAAAATTTCCTCTCCTACAAAAGTAAGCAAATAGAATATTAAGATATACAAAAAGAAAAAGTAAAAGCACACTCCCATGCACCAAACTGTTTAAATTGAGGTTGCAATACCATGAACTCGCAATGAATTTTTTTGATTTGGCACATTGTGGAACGGGGCAAACACTTCGACAACACACATATCAGGTTTCTAATGGATATCCATGGTGATGTTGGTCTGCTAATAGGCTCTTGGTGAAGTCCTGAAAATATGAACATAGATAAAAAAAATGCTTTAAGTATTTTAAACTTAATTAAACGTATGATTTTTTTATAGATCTCAATGGCGGTAAAAGATTCATGTAATCGATCCCAAATAATTGAGACTTATAATTTTGTTATTGTTGTATGCTACAAAATAAATTTCTAAGCACAACTATACAGTAATTGTAAAAAGGGAGAAGGAAAGATATGTAGGTAAAAAGAAAGAACTGACCTCTTGAGCGGAAGTCCACTTTGATGCTCAGGACATACAGAGGTAGAACACGACTGTTCACCTCAGGGTACCACACGACATATCGTGTGGGAAATTTCATGTCATCAACCCCTGAATCAAAATCCACCGAACCGGGCTGAGATTGTCCGGAGCCACGAACAACCTCTTCCGTTCTGCCCAAGATTACACGGCATAACATTACGTGCCTTAATCCATCGCGATCGACGACCGAAGACATCACGCTGCAAATCCACAGTAGTTCAATCGTGAGATCACCAAACATCGCTTAATAAGATGTGTAATGAAAGACGCACCTGTTGATGGCGACAGGCTCCGGAGTCACATAGAGCCCAAGTCCGAAGTATCCACCGTCCTCGGGCGTCCCGGAAACATCGAAACCGTCGTTGACGATCTGAATGATTCTGTCCTTGGAAGCTTCGGCAAACGCGAACTTGTCGTTGGCATTGCCGTCATGCTTCTGCGCCACGGCCTCGAGAGAACGATGGAAGGCTTCCCACCGTGTTCGCCTAGTCGGGGTCGAGTACAAGACGCGATGGAGGTCCACCAAGGAGCAATGCGGGACAAGCGACCCAATGCTTGAGTAGAACCTATGTCGCAAGAGGATGAACTCCTCGCTGTCCTTGCTTACTCTAACCATCCCGTTGCCCTCGAATGCTTGGGGCGTTCCTGAAACCAGTCCTCCTCCTCCTCCTCCTTCCCCATTGTTCGATGCGAGCAATTTCTCTTCTTGTTGCTTCCCGAATCGTGCCGCCATTCCCAAACCTTCCATCAAGGCCAAAGAATCAAAGTTAAACAAGTGATTTGATCTCGTGAAGGAAAACCAATTAAAACATTAATCTCCACAGATTCAAAGATTAGCTAATCACGGATCGCTCGCATTTCAAATAACTAGAAAGAAATTGAGAACCGACGAGAGAAGCCGAGGTATAGCACAAAAGAGAACGATACATCAACACGAACGCAAGAAGCGGCGAAAAGAATCACCTTGTTTTGGATCAAGACTCGAAATCCTTCGGATCACTCCCATCTCTCTATCTCTCTCTCTCTCGCTCTCTCTGTGTGTGTCACGCGCGCGCTTTGGCAGTCGTTTTGGGACGAGAACAGAGTGCCGAGGAAAAGGGCGGCTATTATACAGGGTGGGAGGGGAACCGCCTCTTGTTTGCGGGACACGGTTCGGCGCACTTCGTTTGTATGCTTGAGGGGGTGGGTACCGACCCATGGATTCAGGGGTGAGAAATGACTTCTTTGCCCTTCATGACTTATTGACCAAGGAAAAATTCAACCTTTTTTTGGTAAGCTCATGACGATTTCTTTGTATCTGATCACAAGCTATTATTTTTGAAATATTTGTTTGGGAATACCACTATTTTTTTATTTTTAATAATATATTTTTTAAATTATTTTAAAAGTTTCAACAGTATTAAAGTATAAGATATTTCATTTCTAACATAAAATTTGAGGGAATTCCTAACTTTTAATTTAGTCTTCTCGATTTATAAATTTTTTTTTATTAAGAGAAATAATAGTAATGATTAAATTAGTCTGACTTGGTTCGAGTCCATATGTGTAAGAAATTATCAGGTACGATCGAGAGGGTCTCAGGTATTCGACCTAAGTAAGACAAAAAAATAACCCTTGAAAATAATATTTTAATTTATGTTGAGATTTAATGAATTAAATGACAGGATTATTTGAATAATTTTGTGAATAAGCAGTAGGAATATAATTATTAACTATATAATGAAAAAAATTAATGTGCATGGTCAACATGGTCAATTGAAATAGACGAGGCCGCCTACTGCGGGCATTTGCCACGGTAAGCATTACAATGGGCGGTGAGATCCCTGTCGCACTCGGCAACGCCTACGCGTACTTTGCGGCCGAGTAAGAAGTCTCGTGTTCTTATCTCTTCATGTATTTGTTTATCTTTTAGTGTCATTGCTTACCTCAGCCTCATCAGAGTGGAGATGGTGAGTTACACATCGTGATCTATAAAACTATCGTTACCGTCCGGGATTCGAACGATCCAAAGAACTATTTTAGAAATCACACTAACAATCAAATTGGATCAGTGTCAATATTTGAGTGAATTTCTGGTGGATTTAAATCCAATTAATAGCTTCGAAGAGTCGTAATTATGTTTTCATAAACGTTTGTAAACATTGGCTGAGAACAACATTTGACAGTACCAATGTGCGAGTTGAAAGCAGTATGCAAGATAAAACATGAATCCAGATGACAGCAGGCATGGCTTAGAAATATGACCATGCTAATATCTCAGTATTCTTTTTTGTGAATAAATGATGATCTCGAAGAATAATTACCATGACAATTAGCACTTGATTATGCCTTGTTGCGACAGCTGCATCATGTTGCTCCCGTCTCCATGAAAGCTTCATGTTTTCCTGTCACAAATACAACGTGATCACACAGATCGAATGTTTGCTTTCACAACTCTGAGCTTAATCAAGAAAAACACAATAAGCTTCCTAAGGTACCCAAAAGTAATGCACATGCGGCTCCTCTGCTTGGAACCAAAAAAATGGAACAAAACTTGATGTATCAACCAATGAAGCAGTTGCGGCTGATGTTTAGCATCAAATGGAACAGTGTGTCATGCCAACACTTGGTTGATGATATTTGCAATCAGCATATAGTCAAACCTCACAAGCATTAAGATTCAGTAAATAAAGACTTCAATTTCTCCCGAAACTTAGGAACTTCATCGGCTATTACAACCATGACCAGCCCCTTCTCCCTGTAATTCTTCAGCTGCAGCAGAATACCAAATTGAGTATACGTTAAAAAAGGCAAATAATACAACATAAGCAGTAGTCATTACGAAACTTAAACACACTGATATATGGTGTCCTGTAAGATGTGGCTTCTGAATATGATTGTCCTAGCTATCTTTTTTTCTCACCTCTGGACAATAGGATTGTCCAATTCTACATGAACTGGAGTACTTCTGAAAATTGGAAATGCCTTCATAAAAATATAGCCTTTTCAACATAAAAATATGTTGATCACAGAAACCAACATATTGCCTTTTCAACATTAACAACCAACACGATATGGAAGGTTTTAACTTTAAATAGCTTGATCACGGAAAGAGAAGCATATATTGCACTTAACAGTCTAGTACAATCAGCTTGATTTAAATAGTGACACTTAGCATGACCACAAGCAAAAGGCTTGTCATTTACAGCTGCAAAACCTATGAAAAGCCTGACTTGATAAAACCCGAATTTAGTTTAAAAATTCTAGATATGTAAATGCTTGACTAAACAAAAAGGGCTTTCTCACATCAATTAATCTCAAGAAAATGACTTTTTATAATGAATCCATGCTAATATCCTAGTGCTAGACATAACAGAATGAAATTTATGATACAAGCACAGTAAATAGAGTATCACCAATGATCATATAGTTTATAGGTAAAAGCAAAGGTTTAAATAGGCGCCCGAGCGCTTGGGTGAGACTCAAGCCTCAACTAGGTAGCGTGCTATAGTGCTTGGGCGCTTGCCTGAACCCAGGCACCAAGCGCCTTGGGCGATAGCCCGATTGAAATGAAGCGTTTGGTTGAATAGCAGCTTAGGTGGTTCGATTGAACCAACTAAGCTATATAATGTTACTAAACCTGCACACGCAAACCCCGCCCCTCGCATGAGTCCAAGCCATAAACCCTACTTCGTGCGTAATCGTTGCCTTCACCATCATTGCTTCCTCTGCTATTGTCATCGCCATCGACGCATAGGACCGATGCTTTCTCTATTGCCGACGGACGGGTATGAAGATTTAGCTTTCGTGTATTCCGTCACAACTGCTTCCGCGTGCAACTCCTTCCACTGTCGAGAGATAGGACCGTAGCTTCCTCTGCCACCAACTGATACATTCGAAGCTTCCTTTGCCCATGATGTCACCGTCCATAACTTCTGTCGTCGTCACTGTCACCATACGAAGCTTTCTCTATCTTTGCTGCTACCATCCACAGCTTCCTCCGCCGCCTCTGCTGTTCTATGAAGCTTCCTCCATCGTTGCTTCTGTCGTCCACAACTTCCTCCGTTGCTGTCGCATCCGTCCGTAAGTTCCTCTGTCATCATCACCCTCTCCTTCCCCACTTTCCATCGTCAATAACTCTTTTCTCCTCTCTAACTACTGTTAACAGTAGATTAAATATTGTTGACAATAAATTATTAACTACTATTATTATATAATAATCCATATTTAAACTTTAGCACTGTTAATATCTATTTATTAATTATATTTTATATATTTTATATTTTAATATTTTAGAGTGCCTCGCTTCTCTCGGGTGGATGCTTAGGCGAGCGCCTAGCGCCTCGGGCATTTTCGAACCTTAATGTCTTTTGACGCCTAATGCTTTTTAAATCACTAGGTAAAAGAACACACTAACTTTTCTATGAAAGTGAAAAGGGCACAGCATGATAAGGGCCCTGAAAAAATAATGCAACAATGAAACAATAATGCAACAACAATGCACACATACCTCTCGTGGAGCCAACTGCTCAGCATGCAAACGAAAAGTAAAAGAGAGTAAGCTCAACTGAAATGAGATAGGAAGAGTGAGAAATCTTGATAATAACAACAAAATTTTATATCAATCATAATAATACCTCTTGAAAAATCTCATCTTCCGGTTTGATATAAATTATGGGGTCACTGGAATCACAGTTAACTTTTGCCTTCCGTTGATTGGCATTTTTATCCTGAAATCAAGAATGGTAAGGCGAAGATCAGAACACTGTACTCAGTGGCACAAATAAAATGTAGCTTATGGCTACATTCTAAGCGTGATCTTCGTTTAGTTCTAGAGATTGGCCCAAAACAGAATAAATCTTTCATTCTAACTCTTATATTCTCATTTATTTTGAGAAGGTGGGATGCAAAATTTTGCTGGATTTGAGCTATGTAACTGCAGGCCTTTTAAAGGGATTAAATTCTTATCATAAACTAAACCCATATTGACAAATGACCAATCAAAAATCACTCAACAGAAAAAAGGAAGACGACTAATGTACCTCAAAGATTCTGGTAACCAGTAAATAATACTTGAAGCGGAAGAAATCCTGAAGCTCCTTTGTGGGCTGAAAGAAACAAGTAAATTTGTAAAGCCATTGCAGAAGATTCAAACAAAGAAAGCACAAATCCACATCTAAGCTATTGCAAAATAGCATATTGATTGTTATACAACCTCGTCCTCTGTTGCCCATGAGACCTCATCAAATAATGCACCATATAATGGAGGCACTAATTGGTAGGGGCAGTTTACGAAGCGCTGAGAAACCAAAAGTCCCACGTCACTCACTTTTTCTTCCAAAAATGGTTTCAGCCTCTTCCTTAAGCCCTCATCAGGGCATACCTGCAGTAGATACTCTTTGAACTCTTTCATGCATTTATGGCCCTGGAAAAGGTAAAGCTCATAATTTTAGAGCAAATACTAACATAGTGATGGTAAGAACAGCACAACATTTTTTTGTTAACGTTAACCTCATATCTCCCCAAATTAAGAGCACTGATTAGAGCAAAAGGGCCAGCGTCGTCATCACCATCCCCGTTCCCGTCTCTCGCTTCGTCATGTTCGTCCAATTTAACGACAGTTCCGACCGTCGTCTGCTCCAAGATCAAATCTACAAAGCCACTGAGATCCCACTGTTTATCGTCGAGGTAATTCCGGAGAAGGAGCTTCGCTCCATTGAAATCCCCGGGCTTAGGGTCGAAGAAACCGAAATCGGCTTGCATCATATCAAGCTTAGCACCAAAGAAGATCACATCTTTAACTTCACAATCAAACCAACAAATCAGACTAAAAACGTGAGCAAGAAATCTTCCTACTTCTGCTTCCTCGTCGTCCTCTTGCTCGGACTCAACCCGTTCTATCTCGCTGGGCGGTTTCAGCTCGACGATTCCATCTTCCGGTTGAGGAGAGACAAACGGATCGTGTCAGACGTCAATATCAAAAACCCTAGGAGGGAAGAGAAGAAGCAAAGCACCTTCGGGTTTGGAAGAGGCCGAGGGGTCGGGAGAGGGGGCGGAGTGGGAGAAGAGGAGAGAGCGGGCGAAAGAGGAGAAGCCAAGAAAGGGCCGGGGCCTCGATAGGCGGCGCCGCTTCTCGGGTCGCTGGCGATGGCCCATCGTGTGCTCCGCTCCGCCGCCCAGCCGCCGGGTGTAAGGGACGCCGAAGGTTTGCGTTTAATTCTCGCGAAGAGGGTTTATAGGAAGAGAAATGGGGCGCGCGGAAGCCGTCAGCGATGCGGTTCGATCGAACCGCTCACGAACCCGAGATGCATAGGGTCGGACCGACGAGTTCGATTTCGGATTGGACTCGTTTGATTTGGCTTGCTTCTTTCGTCAACCCAAAGGCCCGCTTTTATAGTTGATATTAGTTCTATCAAATGGTGACACAGACAAGAGTTGATTCACAATAACAGGAACAAAAGGTGAGGCTCGAGACACATAAAGACCATACCAAGACCACCAAGAAGACTTCATATGATGCTGCAGATCCGGGCCGAACTCTATTTCACATCAGTTATTACAGTATGGTTCCCAGTAGCAAGTATAATAATAAGCTGGAAGCAGGAAACAACGAATGTTTCCATAGCAACTAAGACAACAGGGAGTGATGAAATGTCCTCAATGGAGGTTTCACTTCATACAGACAATTTTGATGTACGAGTAAGTATTTCTAACAGCTTGTTCAAATAAGAAGAAAAAGCTGTTGCAGTAGTCTGAGTCATGTAGGCTTCATCCTGGTGAACAAGAATCAACACCTAGGATGAAGTTTCACTTCATACAGACAATTTTGATGTACTACTAGTAAGTAATTCTAACAGCTTGTTCAAACAAGAAGAGAAAGCTGTTGCAGTAGTCTTGAGTCATGCAGGCTTCATCCCGGTGAACAAGAATCGACACCCAGGAACTAAAGCAGTGACTTCTCAGTAGTAGTCATGAAGCTACTGAATCTTACAAAAGGCTGGTGGCCATCACTTTGGTCGACCGCCTCCTGAGTCTCTCTTGAATTCGGCCTTTAATGGCAGTCTCCTGTTGTCATAAGCAACCAAACATTAATCTAGATGTCAAACGAAAGAGAACAAATATGACCATTTAGCTAAACTCACAAGGCTCTTAAGCATACTCGATCTTCAACAGAAACAAAACTATCAATGTCCTAGAATAATATACTTCTTTATAATCATATCTAGATAATATTAGATATTCCAAGTCTGACAACTCACCATGATATGACATCTTTCCTCAAACTTCCCAAGAAAGCCTGCAATGCAGCGATCTGCAATTTCAACCCACTCATTGTGATGCATGCCAGCAGTTTTCGCTACCGTATGCAACTGCAGAAAACAATTCGAAACTGTCATAATTTCCAAACAGAAACTGACAATATTGAGTGACACCATCGCAAATTGAAAAGTTGGTACTCGACACAAAAGTATATAACCAATGTCTTAAACAATCATAAAGCACACATCTTCTTGACGATGGGATAGATACTTCATTTTAGGTCCAATAACAAATAACGATAAGCAGGGACATAAAGAACGAAATCTTATCCATTACTACATATGTTGCTAGCGATTACAACTCTAGTCAAGACACCTAGGTCCTTTCAAATAAAAGAATGTGCCAACTAATTAGAGAATATTGTTCCCCACCAGTATGCCTGAATGCTCTCAAGAGGTCTGGAAGAATTGATGAGGCATGGGGCCAGAGAATACAAATGTCTTGCTGAGTAATTTTGAAAGGTTTATCTTTACCATGAAAACAAAATCTGGAATGGATTGCTACTCTTTCTGATGCCTGCCTCCAAGTTGCTCCTTATTTAACAACAAAAACCACAGGATATCCAAGGGATAGTGCATCAGGAGACCAAAAGCCCTCCTTGCTAAAATTCAATGAAATCAAAGCATTTGCTTTGCTTTCATAGACAATATTTCACAACCTTTTTAAATGGAATTATTTTGAAGAATAAAAATTAATTATTGCTAGGATTCGACATGTGCTTTGGTAAAATTGATCAAAATGTATAGCAGCAACATCTTAATGAGGAACACAGGATGCATGAACTTGTTAACCACGTGCTTAATGTTCTACTCCACATGTTTTCATAAAGAAGAAAAACAAAACAGCACATTTCAGTTATATGACATAGCACAAAGCATAAGTGAATGGGTGGCATAATTTGGATAGCAGCCTTAGTGGTACGACCAAGCACCACAAAAAGCTCTCTGCTGGATCATTGCAAGAGAACCAATTTTTCAGCATACCTTTTCCCGCTGTGCTTTCACCTTCTCACGCAGTTTGGTTATGCGCATGTTCATTCGCAATTGCTTCTCCTGGCAGCAATAAGATGAGAACCAATCAGATCATGCAAATGAATAATCACGGGATTTAAGATAAGCATTCAAGAACATGATCCTGCCTTTATGTAGCTGACACCAAGATCCTTCCTTGTATACCCTCTGGCTAAGTTACGCATAACATACTTGTTGTAGTTTTTCAAAATCCTCATTATGATATCTGAGGTAGATATCCCATCTGTTCGTTTTGTTTCTTTGAATTTCCCAACAGATTTAACCTACAAGAATATATGATTCCGATTATCCAATAAATGTCTGGAATCTTGGAAATAATTATAATCAAAGTGACCTAAATCACAAGAAGGTAACAAGAGAACTTACATATTCATAAACGTCATTTCCAGCTCCACTTGCATCTGCATATCTGCAAATATTGCCATGATGAGGAAGACAACTATATAGCACGTTATTGTAACAAAATTTACATCTTAAATAGTTATTAACAATTGAAAAGCTGACACTTAAGCTGAAAATGGTCAATATCGAAGAACTAACACTAGATTGAAATTGACCATTGTAAATATATAAAGCTGAACTCGCACAAGCAACAAATAAGGAAAACAATTATTGGTTCATCCATTTCATTGAGGTACTCCAGTTGATAGTAAATGATGTAGAATTTGCCAGAATTCAATAACTCAAATCATTACTTGATTAAAAGAATTGAAAAATCAGACATTATATTCTGCCAGTGTACCTATGAAAGATTCAGATTGAACATCAAGTAGCGCACTGACCAATCCAAAAATACTAAATAATTACTTAACCTACTTAAACAGGTAAATTTATTGGCAGTTATATAAAGTACTCCAACCATACATGTATCATCAGTTGGCTATAGCCTATACAATACTTAAACAATCAATGGAAACTCCGATAATGTAATTTAAGAATAATGAAATACTCGAGCTATGAAGGAACATAATTATTCTTGAAAACTCAAAGCTTTATAATAGACTTGTGTGTTTATCTTACGGAATGGCATCATGAACAACATAGTCAATCTTGTGTTTGTCGAGGAACTCCTGTGTGATTATCCATGGAGCATCAGGAATAACTTCATCTACCCACCTAAGATGAAGAATGGAATATTTCAGTTATAAATATAGAAGAAAACTTTAAAGCACACAACACATTGACTAAGTGCATTTTTTCTCTACCTAGTAATTGTCGTGTCATCTCTGTCACATATGATCTTATCAAATGTGCATCTAGTATAGCTTGACAACATAAGATGATTGAAACATGAACACTTATCACTCTACACATGTTCACAAAGTCTAGCTTTAAAACACAATTACTGACAGCAAGATCCCATGATGATTTCAGGAAATAAGAACGTCAGCATCAAACATAGACCTGAGAGAGGAAAGGGAGTACATAAGAAGTTCACCACTTATTAAACAAACTTGTTGACACACCAGTGACCAGAATTTTTTTCAAATATAGAGGCTTAATCTAAGTGAGATTCATGTCCTAGCAATATTAACCTCGACAAAGATAAGTGACAGGAAAAGATCAAACAAAATTTTAGAAGGTTATATGTTCTAATCTAAGCCCATCCAATTACTTCAACATAAGAGCACCTGGGTCAGTAATCATTTCAACAATAGTGATACAACTTATATGAGAATAATGCCAAATACTAAAGTCACTTATAATTTATCTGCGTTTTCTACAGTTTTTTCTCTATTACATGTGGGTTACTCATTGACCAATGGTTCCGAACCTTCAGTTTACCATTTCTGTAACAAGACAACAATTTTCATGAGACATGCAAATAACATCTCATATGTTATTGCTGACTCGTAATTATGTTCAAATTTCAACCAACAGAATGCACTGAAAATACTCCTTCTAAATTTGTTGGTTTCTTGTGCAGAAGTTTCTCGAATGTCATCAAAATACAAAAAAGGAGACCCTCAATTGTATGATCATCTTCATTTTATAAAAAGTAATGTAGTGCTAAAAGGAACAAATTGGTAAACCAAAAGTTTACCAGTCATAAGGAGGATGGAATACTACAAACCTGCAGTGACGGAGTGACTCATAGCGCTCAGATTCAGTCATGACTGTGTTTCCCTTGTATCGATGAGTAATCTCATCGTTGCAGCAACCAACAAGTAAATAGGTGTTTCGGAATCTGGAAGAAAATGGTCATCACAATTCAATCCATCAAATGATTCTATAAGAACAAGACAGCTACATGCTGAACTTAATCTACGATGCACGCTCAAATTAAAGAGTTCATCGATCCTCATTATGCATCATTGTGCAAGCCACTACGTTTTCCCTGCTTTCGATCGTCATGCCAATAAAGTTTTGCTCACGATTTGTGCAAACCATCAGAAGAAAAAAATATACTAATCGGAAGAATTACGAGTTCTTGGCTTGTTCGAGAGCTCGAGCATGTCCAAAGTGGAAGAGATCGTAGATCCCGTCGGCGTAGACGCGAACCGGCCTATCCGACGTTACTTCCTTCTCAGGCAGCGGTTCGCACTGCAACTCCTCGGACGACGCCGACAACGCTCCACCATCGTCGCCCTCGTTGAGCCCACTGATCCACCGCCTACGTGGCAACCGCGCCATCGGAGAAGTTCGAGCCCACCAGCTACCTATCCAGGAGACAGTGAGTCCCGGCGCGAGAATCCCGAGCGGCACGGGCGGTATGGAGATAGAGAGGGGGGCGCGGGAGGACTCGAAGAAGAGCTTTGGAAGGGGAGGTGAATCGGCGTTGTATATATATACACACACACGCCCTTAACCATCACAGTTCGCCGGTGAACGGAAGTCCCAAATTAGCAACCAATTGGGTTTGGGATTTGGCATTAGCGTTCCTTCACGTCGAGAAACGAACGCGTCAATCGTTACGCGCGTCTATATATCGTAGAAAGTTTGTTTGGTCGCACATTTATGGATGTTACACTCGGTTCAACTATACTAATATTGTTTGTTAGATTCCATAGTCTTATCATTGACCCAATTTTGACTCATGCGTTTTCTAATCATCCCTTAGAAATATTATAATCTCTAAAGCCCAAGTTATTTAAAGATTTAATAAATCCAAATTGATGATATAACTCAAAATAAAAATTAATTAAAAAAATAATGATGTAACCAACATCTCAATATTATTTCGACACGACGTAATTGATACCTATATCTCGATATTAGATCCACTACATCTGTTAGGTGTGATTCAATATTAATATACGTTCGTAAGTATAAAGATATAAATTTAAATAAAAAATAATAATTAACTAATACATTGATATTATGTGATCGACACCACATATCTAAATCGTTGACATCTTGATATTAGATGATTGAAATCTTGATGCTAAATAATCAATATCTCGATATATCTACAACATTTGTCATGTATGACCCAACATCGATACACATCTATGGATATAATAATCATAAAATCATATTATGAAAACCCCTATAGTGCATCATAAAATAGAGAACAATTCTCACTATATAAATACTATATAATACAATAATATATAAATAAATATAAAATAAAAATAAAGATGGACAGATACATGATTCAAACTTATGGTCTATTTTATAGTAACTGCTTAAGCTATGAGAAAAAGATCCAAGGTATAATAGGTTTCAGCATGATTGTCTTACTCCCCATGCCAGATAAGATTCATCATCATGCTATTGAAAAATTATCTGCAAAATAATTTGTGAAAGGGAATAATAAACATTGTTCTTGAAGTCAACGGACAGTCCCGCAGTTTTCGCCTGTTGGATTGAGTTGACAAAAACCATGGCTTTACCTTCTTACTGGAGCCACCAAGAACGACCACCAACGAGGCAAAAATTATAGAGAAAAATGTAATCATCTCGTGGAGAACTGAAAAAGAGAAGGTAAACCTTTTGAGAAGCAAAAGAACAGGCAATTTACTGCATCTTATTCTGGTTCTGGATTCAAAGAGTAACACATCTATGTTATTAGGAAAGTGATGATAATTTAATCTGTTGCAAATCCTGTATTCTGAGGTACCACACTGCAACAATGAGAGCCAATGACAATCAACTAGAATTTTTTCTTATCGAACCAACTATGACATAATGACATGGAAAGTGTTCCAGAACACATCAAGGAATCATTAGTTTGCTCATCCAATTAATCTCACAACAATTCATCAACGGAAAAAAAAAATCAATCAGTTACAATGTCCCACTATTCGGGAAAAGAACTTCTCCAATATGTCGATATACAAAGAATAATCTTATACATGTTGTGAGGCAGTGTTTGGTCTGCATAGGGACAGCTGCTAAGCAGGAAATCATTTTTGCAAACTCAATCCATTGTTCCATTTAGTGAATAAAATTGCCTCCTTTATAGTCAATGAAAGAAATTTGAAGTCCATGGAATAATTATTGACATCTTCCAGCTGCTACTTATGTCTGCATGTCCAATGAGTTGGAATATGAGAAAAGAACAAATAAATATACTAAATCAGTTCCCTGTCTCGAACAATCTTCAGCTGTACAAAGGATCATGTTATACTCGGGCTGTCACAGTTTCAAAACTGGGTTCTGCCAGTGATTATAAGCTGCAAATGCATGAAATTGATGTTTCAGTTTCAATCTACTGTTGCAGTCATGCTCATCAGACTATCAGACTTTTCCCGCTTCATGTGCAAAGAAAGATACCCAAGCCATTCATGTATCAACTCAGCCTGTGGATGTGAGTCATCTTTCACAAAGAACTGGTGAATTCTCTTTTCAATCTCAATCCAGCTGCAACCAGGGTTCTTCTTCAATCCTCTCTCTTTTACAGTAGCACGGACCTTGCGCACATCATCCCATCTCCCGACAGACGCGTACATGTTTGCTAAAGTCACATAAGTAGAGTGATCATCTGGATCTACCTCAACAAGAAGCTTGGCAACTTCCTCCCCCAATTCCAAGTTCCTGTGCAAACTACAAGCCGAGAACAACGAACCTAACAATCCTGCATCAGCTCTTATCTCAGGTGTGCTTTTCTTCAGTACACTATAAGCTTCATTTAGCCTACCCGAGCGTCCCAGGAGATCTATCAAGCAGGAGTAGTGTTCTATGTGGGGTTTGATTCCATATTCATTAGTCATTTGATCAAAATAAAGACGACCTTCATCAACCAGTCCTCCATGGGAGCAAGCAACGAGAACTGCAAGGAATGTGACATGATCCAGTTTTGCTTTTACTTTCTGCAATTCGTGGAAGAGCTTGAAAGCTTCAGAGGCCTGGCCATGGGAGCCATAGGCCATGATCATGGAAGTCCAGGACAAAATATCCTTTGTAGCTAACCTGTCAAAAACTTCTCTTGCTTCGCTAATGGCTCCACATTTTGCATACATGTCGACAAGGGTGCACATGACTTTCTCATTGCACTCCAGACCATGGTTGCTAATTTGCTTATGGATCTCTCTGCCCTGCTCCAAAGCTGCTAATTGAGCACAAGCAGATAGAACACTGATAAAGGTGATAGCATCTGGGCTGACCCCATATACTCTCATATCATGGAAGAGCTCGAGAGCCTTGAAGAAGCAGCCTACCGTCACATACCCTGAAATCATCACGTTCCATGAAACCACATTCGACTTTGGCATCTTCTCAAAGACAGACTCTGCATGCCGAGCAATTCCACATTTGAAATAGAAATCTACAAGAGAACTAACAACAAAAATATCAGCCTCCATACAGTTCCGTACTATGTAACCATGAATAAACTTTCCATGTCGTGAATTAGAGCTTCTCGAGCAAGCCATTAACAAGCAGCTTATAGTGGTTGAAGTGGGCTTAAAACCTTCCTTGGTCATCCTCCTAAAAAGAATCAAACTCGAATGGCTATCTCCTGCCGAGGAATACCCGCCAATGATTGAATTCCAGGAGACCACACTCTTACTCGGAATCCGCTCGAAGACATCTCTGGCACTCTCCAAGCAACCACATTTGGCATACATATCAACGATGGCAGAGCTGATGAAAGCATCCAATTCGAAACCACTCTCATTCAGCATCTCATGCATCTTCCTCCCCCGTTCCAAATCCTGGAGCCGACCACAAGCGGAGAATGCAGTCGTGTACGTCACACAGTCCGGCTCAAAACCGCATCTATTCATCTCCTCGAACAACTCCAGCGCTTTCGACGCCTGACCGGACTGGTAGTAGCAGGACATGACCGTATTCCAGCAAGCCGCATCCTTGTGGGTCATTTCATCGAACAGCTGGATCGCCGACGAAAAGCGATCGCATTTTGCATACATGTAAACCAAAGAGCTCGAGATTACGACGTCGGCCGCAAAACCGGACTTCATCAGGCCGGCGTGGAAGACCTCGCCGTTTCGTGCGGCGCCTAATCCGGCGCACGCCTTGATGGCGCTCGGATAAGTGAAGGCGTTGGGCTTGAGGCGGGGGGAAAGGAGCAGCAGCTTCTGGAAGAGACAAAGCGCTTGTGCATGCAGCTGGCGCTTGGAGCAGACAGAAAGGAGAGCATTCCATGGGGAGACGTCGTCGGAGGTGTTGGATTCGAGGACCTTGAGGGCGGGGTGGAGGAGGTGGAAGGAGAGGTAGAAGCCGACGAGAGCTCTGCAGAGGAGTGAGTTGGACTGCAAGCCGAGCGAAACAGACTTGGCATGGACGAGCTTCCCCGAAGCCAACGACTGGGCGTTGGTGGTGGCGGTGGCCGCTGCGGTGTTGCTGCGGCTGAGAGCTTTGAGGACAGCTGAAAGCTTCTGAACGACCATCGGCGGCCAACAAATCGCCTCACGCTTGACGAAAGCCGCCAACTTTTTGATCTCCTCGGTCGGTCAACACTAGAGACTCGAGTCTGCTCACCGCGAATGCGAATAAGACAACAAAACATGAAAATTCCACAGCTTTGGACTTACACTGGACCCGCTTCATGCACCCAGCAGCAGACGGTTAGACCACCCGGCGGTTTCGAAACTCACCTGGCAATTTGAGCCGACCTAAACCCGCCTGTCCGGACACGCGTTGGGTTAAGCGATCGACGCGCCCGAATCTACATGCAACCTGAGTCGGTGCAAGCTCGGTTCGATCTAACCATGTCATTGACCGGTCCGATTGAAATGGCTCCGAACCAAACCCATTGTGAATCCAACACAACCTAGTCAGGCTCAACCAAGATTGGATTGGTAAGGAGACGAGGGATGACGATTGGCAGAAAGCATGGGACCCATGTGGAGCCACAAGCGGGGTCCGTGGGACCCATGTCGCACCTCCACAAGGGAAGGTTTACCGAGTGGTGACCCGACCATCAGCCCACGTACCTACCCAACCAACCCCAGCCGTCAGTCAGTACCAATTGTTATTGCACGAATCACGATATTTTTCTTAATCCAACAATTGGTGTTCGTAGGGAGAGAAGTAAAAGGGAAAAAAGGAAAGAAAATAAAAGAGAGGAGTTGGTTGGGCTTTTGCTGTCTCTATAAAATCGATCGCGTTTGTTCTAATAGGAAGAAGAGAAATATAAGGGATCCTCTCGCTCCTAACCAAACTGGTCTTTGTTTGCGGAGAGAAACATCCATCCAGGTCTGGGCTTCTCTTCTTTCCTGATCTACTATTGTTCCTTGTCACGAGACAAATCTTTACATCGATTATTGTTTCTTCTGTCTTGTGTCTGAAAATTTTGGGTAGATCTGCTATCTCAAATCTCTGATGGTTTATATGTATTTTTTTTTTCTGTGGTTTACCTGGTGGAAATATCCAATTTTTGTGTGTGATGCAAGACTTGTCTTTTTTCAGGATATCATGCATTAGATTTGTGGATGTTGAATTTGTTATCTGTAGCGCCTGTGGAACTTGTGTAATTAGAATGTTAAAAAATCGATTCATGCTGCTGTCCTGGAAGGCAGCATGTCCATGATTTAGGGAGATTAGAACCTAGATGTGGGTCCAAATGACAATAAAGTTGTGATCTTTTTGTCTTCGGGTGATCCAAGACAAACAATCAAGGTTGTGCTGTTTTAGAAGACAAGTCCTTCAGAAAGATTGTCCGTTATTGTGTGTAATTGTGCTGGGGATTCCTCTTTTAGTATTTGGAGATCTATTCAGATCTGTTTGGATTCATCTGTTCACCATTGCAGGGAGTCCGCCATAGTGATTCTTGCTTATTGAATTTTCCACACTTGATGATCTGGTGGTGCTTTTATTACTTCTCTCATGTATTCGTTGGAATCATTTGTTTCCGGTGCTTTTGTTTGGGATTTATGACAAAGAAAGTGTTGGACTTTTGGTCCTGACAATTGTGATTTGTTCATGGTAGTAGCATGTGGAACATTGATCTTGTGCAACTAATTTCTGTTATTGATCCGCTGAATTATGTTCCGTTGCACCAGTCAGGCATTATTAACCTAGTGGTTGGTTCCCCCATATATCTTGCAAAGGTTTTGGGTGTCATCACTTGTCAAGGTGGTGTAGAAGTATCCGAGTTAAGTCTGTCTTTAGGTAGGAGACTATATTGTCAGTTAATCAAGGAATTTCCCCTCCCTGTTGTTAATCAATTTACATGTACTAACTATCAATAGGTCTTTATTTTTCAAAAATTTGTTTGATAAGAACTTAACGATTTGCTTATAATCTTTATGCTGTAATAAGGATGGAGTTTGTCATGTGTGAGGTTGTGATCTTTATTTAGGAAGCTGTATAGCTTGTGTATAATTGTTCCTTATGATTCTTAGACCTGTGCTGCTTTTGGGAGTATCCTTAAGGAATTCCTTTGTGCATTGTCATTCTGGCTTATTCTAATATATACATCATCTATATATTTTTTATTATATCTTCTTTCTTAAAGTGTTTTGAGGAAGAATGAGTTAATTAAGCTTCTTCTTTCCATCGTTAATAAATTGATGAAAAAAATTACAGAGAAATAAAAAGAGGTAGAAAAACAAGAACAGCACTTAAAGGACGGTGCCTAGCCAACTTGACATGGATCATGCGATATTTCTATATGGTCTAACTTTGGCTACACAAAAACCAAATTCATTTTACTAAATTTATGTGAATCTTTTTCTGTGAGTGCATTATCTTAATATACTAGTATATTCTTCTATATAAATTAGTTTTCATTTTATTTTATTTTGTTCATGCAATGGGGATGACTATGTCTTTCATTGACTGGCTACTAAAGAAATTACATTATGGTGATTGCAATGATGATTAAGTTGAGTTCATTCAGGCAAATTCTCTCAACTCTTTGGTTTATGTATTAGATCAGAAATGGTTGTACAAATAAAAATATTAATTCTGATTTTTGTTGATATTAGAGGCACAAGGGTAAGAAACATAGGTAATCAAATCATCCCTCAGTGGATAATATGTTGGTGTTGTTGAAGTATGATCCTCTAGTCGGCATGTAGAACTGGAGTTGATCCAATGGTGAGTGGGTGAAAGATTGGTTATTGGCTTTGGTACATTCTCAATTTAGGATCATTTCTAGTTATGGATGGTTTAGTTGTGATTACCACCATTTATAAGTGGTATCAAAACAATGGATGATTGCAATGTCGGAACCTAATGGTTCCTTTAAGAAGGTGTAGTTTGAAAAGGTTCTACTTTAGTTACTAAGGACAACACTGTAATTCCTGAGACTAGGGATGACAACTTTTTTTTTGTTGGCCCGTTCAACCGATACTTATCCAACCTGAATAAAGAAATGTGGTCTGAGTATTATTCTTGACGAGAATCAGGTCCAAATGTCTAGTTTGTCTGGGTATTGGGGTTTGGGTCCAATTTTAGCCATTCAGATACACTATTAATGATGATTATTAGATAGGTTAAACTGCTTAGGTCAGGTTCAGGCTTCAACTTATAATGTACCAAGTTTTCTTCAAAACATAGACTAGTTCTTTATGATTAATATGTTTGACGAACAACTCAAGTTAAACCAAGTCAGTTCCAGGTTGATTAAGAGAAAACAAAGCAGATAAGCATGTACATGTCTGCATTTATTATCTTGTTAAAAGTTCAGATTAAATCAGGTCAGATTTGGATTATTAAAAATCTAGTTCAGTTTTCGACCAGCACTGATCTCTGGAAATCAGGTGAGTCAATTCCATGCTTCATAGTTTTACAGTTCGTCTAGATGTAGTTTGTTTTGAACCCCATTTAAATCGAGTTATTTGCCACCTGAACCCAAGACAAGGAGTCGCAAGTTCCCTTCTTATCTCTTCTCTCCCCTCATCTTTCTCCCTTTCCCTATCTTCCCTCTGTTTTTTATCTCATGTGATAGAGGCATGAAATGCAGTGAAAGTGGTGGATAGTATAAGAGTAGAATTCCACATCGTCCTCCTCCCACTCTTGACTGTTTCAACTACAGGAGGCTGCCACTGGTCATCCATCTTATTTTCTTCCTCATCCACTTATAGGCTAATCTAACGAGCCACCTTTATATAAACGTTATATAAAGTTTACATAACGTTGCTTAAATGTTTTCATTTTGTTGTTTGCATGATTTTATATGATCCATTTTTTTTGCATTTAGAATTTTCATTAGCTATTTATTTCACCTCATCTATATCTTTTTGTTATTTTGATTTTTTATAAAATATTTTGAGTCTTGTATCTGAATGAGTTTCATATTTCTTTGTAAATGTTCTGTAAGATTGTATATTTTAGTTCTCAGTGGCTAATATGTAGAAGTTCCTGATCTGTATATGGAACAGCATGGAGGATGTATCTTTATGTTAAGTTGCAAAAGACTTTCCTTGAAGCCATTTTTTATACATATTGAAAAGATACTTTGAATGTCTCTATTGTGACATCTGAGTTGGTTAATGCATTTGTTTCACAAGTGATGGTTCTTAGGTTCGAGTCTGTATATGAGCGTCATGTACGCTATTTAATGTAATGGAAAATTGGAAATATCTTTTAATTTTATTAAAAAAAGATACTTTGAATAATTTATATATTGCAATTTTGGTTATGATGCTTGGCTTGGATTAGCTAACAACACGTGATTATGTCAATCTGCTAGCAGTCGAGAATCCTCAATTATATATTAGATCTAGTTCTATCCCGTCACAGTACCAAAATTTTCATTTTTCTTGTGCGTGTAATCTTATTTAGTCTTATTCTGATGATCCCACCTCTCTATCAGGTGAAAGATGGCTCTAACAAGGATTGGCCTTGCTGGTCTTGCTGTGATGGGTCAAAACTTAGCCTTGAACATAGCTGAAAAAGGCTTCCCTATTTCTGTATACAACCGGACCACTTCAAAAGTAGATGAGACTGTTGAACGTGCCAAACGTGAAGGAAACCTCCCAGTTTATGGTTTCCATGACCCTGCATCATTTGTCAACTCAATACAGAAGCCCCGTGTCATCATCATGCTTGTGAAAGCTGGTGCACCAGTTGATCAAACCATAGCGACACTCTCATCTCACATGGAGAAGGGCGACTGCATAATAGATGGGGGCAATGAATGGTATGAGAATACAGAGAGGCGTGAAAAGGCCATGGCGGAACTCGGTCTCCTTTATCTCGGGATGGGGGTTTCTGGTGGAGAGGAGGGCGCAAGGAATGGCCCTTCTTTGATGCCTGGAGGGTCATACGAGGCGTACAAGTACATAGAAGACATCCTTCTCAAAGTGGCTGCCCAGGTTCCGGATAGTGGCCCCTGTGTTACTTATATAGGCAAAGGAGGTTCAGGCAATTTTGTCAAGATGATTCACAATGGAATCGAGTATGGAGACATGCAGCTTATCGCCGAAGCTTATGATGTACTGAAATCTGTAGGAAACCTGTCCAACCAGGAGTTGCAACAGGTTTTTTCAGAATGGAACAAAGGAGAACTTCTTAGTTTCTTGATTGAGATCACCGCAGACATTTTTGGAATAAAAGATGATAAAGGTGATGGGTATCTAGTGGACAAGGTCTTAGACAAGACTGGGATGAAAGGTACCGGCAAATGGACCGTCCAACAAGCTGCTGAATTATCAGTCGCTGCTCCAACAATTGCATCATCTCTGGATTCCAGGTTCCTTAGTGGACTCAAGGAGGAACGGGTCCGAGCTTCTAAAGTTTTTCAGTCTGGTGGTTTCAGTGACATTTTGGGAGGGCAGCCCGTTGACAAGGCAAAGTTGATCGAAGACGTGAGGCAAGCCCTTTATGCCTCAAAGATTTGCAGCTATGCACAAGGCATGAACCTGATACGAGCAAAGAGCATCGAAAAGGGGTGGGATCTTAAGCTGGGTGAGCTTGCAAGGATATGGAAGGGTGGCTGCATCATCCGGGCCATCTTCTTGGACCGTATCAAGAAGGCTTATGACAGGAACCCTGAGCTACCGAACCTCTTGGTCGACCCAGAGTTTGCAAAGGAGATAATGGATCGCCAGGCTGCTTGGCGTCGTGTCATCTGCCTCGCTATCAACCACGGCATAAGCACTCCAGGTATGTCTGCCAGTCTGGCCTATTTCGACACCTACAGGAGGGAAAGCGTTCCTGCTAATCTAGTCCAAGCTCAGAGGGACTACTTCGGGGCTCATACCTACGAGAGGGTCGACATGCCCGGGTCCTTCCACACCGAATGGTTCAAGATCGCAAAGCAGTCCAAGATCTGAAGTCATGTGAGAGAGACACTCCCTGTGTTTTCAGTAGCATAGCTTTACTTTTGTCACTGGGAAACTTGGGTTGGGTAAACCCCCACCTTTTAGCAATTGAAATAACGTCCTCGTGTCAGGACCCAGAAAACCAGCTAAGAATGTTGGATGTCTTCCATTGCTTTTCTATTGGCATGACATTTAGATCGAAGTTGTCTTGGAGATCCACCAGGTCTTATGTTTGCTTCTCTTTCTTACCTGTAGTGGATGAACTTGGTGATTCAAATCGAATGGGTGTTTCTGCTTATGTTTGATTGGGAAATGGCCTGTGTGTAATGAATCGACTATTGCATCGTTCCCTGTCAGAACACCACCTGACCCAAAAGTTGTTGTGCTTTGCCTTGCGTGAGTGAGCAGTGTGTGTCACGAATGCTGCAAAAGACAAATGTGATTGATTATGTTGGAAGCTCAGATAGACTGGGCGTACTCTATATATATATATATATATATATATATATATATAATGTTTCCTTTGTTTGTCGTTTCTAATATATTTAATGCGGGTGATACTTTCCCAATGCCCTGTAGAAAAGAGCTCTCGAAGTATGTCACGATTGTTTTGAAGTTTCTAAAATACATATTCTACTTGACTTTTCTTACTTCAAATAGTTGACTAAATTGAGTGCTTGGGGGAACTTTGTCCCGATACACCCTTCGCACGAGTTTTGTAAGTTAAATTCTTAAGTTGACTTCTCCTTTTTTTCGATCCTCTGAGATCATCAAAGTAAATCAATGCCTGCACATAATACTAAAATACACTGATTGTGTATACCTGAGATACTAATATATTTCTCCTTGGAAGAATAAAAGAAGTAAGATTTCGACAACATAATTGCTTGGATAATTTAATTTGTACAACGTTGTCAGATGAGGTGGATCAAGGAACGCTCAGCATCTAGAAATTTGGTGGTGCTCATCATTCATGCATGCATTTATTTGGTCATCGATGATCGCATCCCAGTCAACTGGAATTCATCACGAATGATCAAATTCGATTCGTCTTATCCTTTGAAAACATCTTCGAACTCGAATCCTAATCCCACATGAAGAAGTCAAAGCCGACACCGTCCATCATCACGAACTCAGCTATTGCAAGCAACGTGCTGATTGCTCCAAGACTATTTCTCCATTGTCGCTGTTCGCAGCTTCAGGTGCCATGAAGAGCACGGAGCCGACTCTAATTTTATCTTGGCATGCAATATTTTAATCGATTTGGCATAATAATTCATCCTCAGAAATGACAACCACGACTCTCCCAAGTCCAAATTCAAGCCGATGCCGCTTTATTCTCGGCATGTATTTTGACCGGGAATATTGAGGCATTATATTATTTGCTTTGCTTTGCTGCTGTGTGTTGTAATCCAACCGTCGCATTCAATTTTCGACTCAGTTGGGGTAAGAATAAGATCCAATCGAATCAATTAGTCTATTATTTTAAATAATTTTAATATATATTTAAAATAAAAAAATATTTTGTTGTTGAATAATTTTAGTTCAATCGAATCGAATTAAAATATTTGTTCAATTGAACCGGCACGATAAAATTTACGACATTGAAGTTGGGCCAGTATCGCTATCGAGTCGATTTGAATCGATTAAGGGCTTAAGATAGTGAATTCGATTCGACTAATATTTTTAAAATTAAAATCAATTCATTCCGATGCGAATCGATTAATCGAATCGAAGAATATTATTTTCTTTAAACTTGAAAACCGTTTATAACTTTCAAAATTAAATTAGGATCCAACAGGTCCTATTCCATTTGAACTTTCTGTGTTCAAACTTCCCTATTCGATTTGAACATCTTACCCGCCATGGAATTTTACGGATAAGTTAAAAGTGATATTTCCATGTTTATTGGAATAAATAAATAAATAAAATAAATAGTCTTGCGAGTTTTTGGGGAGGAGACAGAGGGGAATGGTAGAGTCAATGCCTTGTTCATTCAAATGGGTGTTCTTAGATGAAACGGAGGGGAGAGTAGGTGGGTGAGGGGAAGGAGACTGATACATTGCTGAAGTAGAAGGTGAGATGAATCTGTGTTCGCATCTCCGCACAGCTCTCGTTTCTACCACAGTTCCTTCCATCTTGCATTCCCTACCTACCCCCCCCCCCCCTCCCCCTCCCCCTTCACTTCTCCCTACTTATATGCACTCAGATCCTTCTGCTTCGTTCAAGCTCTCATCCCACTGCTGTATTCTCAGAGTTCCATTGTGTCGGAAAGCTGTAGAAAGGCAGTGCTTACCTCCTTGTTTGGCATCCGTTTCGCGCTTTGAATCCTCACGTCCCTCTCATTGTTTTTCTTCTTCTTCCTTCGTGTTGTACCTCGGCAGCCATGATCTCTGTTGCTTCTGAAACCCAACCACAGATCGCCAGCCCAATCCAACCACTCGAAACCCAGCCGCCGGAAACAATCGTGTTCCGGTCGAGGCTACCGGACATCACCATCTCCAACCATCTCCCTCTCCACACCTACTGTTTTGAGAAACTCCACGAGACGTCGGATGCACCCTGCCTCATCGCGGCCACCACTGGGAAGATCTACACCTTCTCCGAGACCCACCTTCTGTGCCGTAAGGCGGCCGCTGGCTTTTCCAAGCTCGGGATCGGACATGGGGATGTCGTCATGGTCCTCCTGCAGAACGTACCTGAGTTCATATTCACGTTCATGGGCGCATGCATGCTCGGGGCCATCACCACCACCGCCAACCCGTTCTGCACTCCGGCCGATATCTTCAAGCAAATCAAGGCCTCCGGCGCGAAGCTTGTCGTCACCCAGTCCGCGCACGTCGACAAGCTCCGCGGCGGGGACGAGGGGTTCCCTAAGATCGGCGACGGCTTGATGGTGATCACCACCGATGAGCCTCCCGAGGACTGCATGAACTTCTGGGAAGTGCTGGACTCCAACGAGACGGCAGTCCCCCACGTCACCATCGATCCGGAGGACCCGGTCGCTCTGCCATTCTCATCGGGCACGACGGGGCTGCCCAAGGGGGTGTTGCTGACCCACAAGAGCATGGTGTCGTCCATAGCGCAGCAGGTGGACGGCGAGAACCCGAACGTGTACCTGAAGCGCGACGACGTGGTGCTGTGCGTGCTTCCCCTGTTCCACATCTTCGCCCTCAACTCTGCGTTGCTCTGTTCGCTGAGGGCGGGTGCGGCGACGATGCTGATGCCAAAGTTCGAGATCAGAACGATGCTGGAAGGGATACAGACGCACCGGGTGTCGGTGGCCGCGGTGGTGCCGCCGCTGGTGCTGGCGCTGGCGAAGAATCAGGAGATCGAGAACTACGACTTGAGCTCCATGAGGATCATACTCTCGGGTGCTGCCCCACTGGGGAAGGAGCTCGAGGATGCTCTCAGAATCAGAGTCCCTCAGGCGATCCTTGGCCAGGTCAGTGCCTCTCTCTCTCTCTCTCTCTCTCTCTCTCTCTCTCTCTCTCTCTCTCTACGCGGACCAACCTTTGCATGCGTGCATATGCAGGGCTATGGAATGACGGAAGCAGGGCCTGTGCTCTCGATGTGCCCTGCGTTTGCTAAGCATCCGACCGCTGTCAAATCCGGCTCCTGCGGCATTATCGTAAGGAATGCCGAGATGAAGGTGGTGGATCCGGACACCGGCTTCTCCCTCGGCCGCAACCAGCCCGGCGAGATATGCATCCGGGGGGCTCAGATCATGAAAGGTACGCGGAGTCCATTTTCTTATCCTAGACGAACAATTCTGATCTCGTTTTCCACGTTGACAACAGACTTCGTTCCATGACAGGCTACCTTAACGACGTCGACTCCACGTCGAAGACGATAGACGTCGACGGCTGGCTGCACACTGGGGACATCGGCTACGTCGACGACGACGACGAGGTCTTCATAGTGGACAGAGTAAAGGAGCTCATCAAATACAAGGGCTTCCAGGTACTCAACCCACTGACATGCACTGCATGCATGCCCTCTTTCCAACGTAGGAAGGACCCTAATATGCTTTGTCGGTGGTCGTAATTAATGGGTTGAGGATGTGCGCGCAGGTTCCGCCAGCAGAGCTCGAATCCCTGCTCTTAAGTCACCCCTCCATCGCCGACGCTGCGGTCGTCCCGTAAGTCCACCGAGCTTCTCTGTACTGTTTGCCTCGTGCTGTTTTCGTCAACGGTCTTATCGATGACTTCTCACGGCAACAGGCAAAAGGATGAGGCTGCAGGTGAAGTCCCAGTCGCCTTCGTCGTTCGAGCCAAAGACTCGGCCATCAGCGAGCAAGCCATAAAGGAATTCATAGCTAAACAGGTAATTCTAATGGCTTCATTTCCGCCGGTGTACGACGGATTCGAAATATCATTCAATATATTATATTGAATGTGTTTGACCATTTGTCGTATGAATCTTTACTCGAATCTCACGTTTTATCACTTACCCATTAAAAATAATAATAATAATAATTAATATCGAATGTATGTGATTGGATAGATTTTGTCTACATCCAAAAACAAAATATTGAATAGGAACATCCCACCAAAATTTAAAGATATGCTAGTTTTATGTAGTAACATTATATTAATTAAAAACTTGGATTAAAAAAAAAATAGAATAGACTTTGTCTACATCGAAGAAGAAAATATTAAATAAAAACATCCCACCAAAATTTAGAGATATGTTAGCTTAATACAGTAAAATTTCATTAATTTCTAAGATTCTCTTGAATTATTTTTCTCCAAAGATTTTTCATACAAAACTAGGCTTGAGTGAATAAATCTCCTTTCTTTTTTGTGATGAACAAAGAGATATAGCTTTAGTTGTGTGTTTATTTATTTCCTGTTATTTACGTTCATGACAAGAGTTAGGGTTACCTTTGTTATGAATCGTTGCTGAACGTATATGTATGTATGTATGTATGTATGTATGTATGACTCCACAGGTTGTGTTTTACAAGAGATTGCAGAAGATCTACTTCGTCCATTCCATTCCGAAATCAGCAGCAGGAAAAATACTGAGGAAGGAGTTGAAAGCCAAGCTCGCAGTTGCTTCTAAATAAAGAGTGTTATCGTCATGCCTCGCTTTTCTTTGTTTCAGTAGAAGTGTCTTCCCGACGCCTATGCAAACTTGTTGTTTAGTGAGGGTTTCCATGGCCAAATGCAACCCTAATTGGTGTGCTTATGATTGGCTTATCCTTATCGTTAGCTATCTCTGTCAACCTACTCCAAAGAGATGGGAACTCTTATGTATTGCATAAAGTTCATCGTCCTCCGATTAAGTGTTGTCGTGTGATGAGAGTCCATTGGTATTTCAATACGAAAAATTGAAGTGAGAGTCATGGTTAACTTTAGTATTTTGGATGCAAGTGAAGGAATACATGCGAAGAATTTAACATAGTAATTTTCCACAAAAAAAAATCTCACTTTTTAATTCTCATATTTTTATAGCCGCTTCTTCCCCTGATCTTATTCCGAATATATCATTAATTTTACGATCATTCATCTATCCCCCTCTTTTTTTTTTTTTGACAAATCAATTTATATGGTGTATCGATCTATCGAAGAATCAATTCTCAAGTTTGTTATCTTTTCGGCACTAAGAGAGGGGGAGGGAGTGAATTAGTGCAGTGGTGAAAATTACGTCGATTCAAAACTTCATTACGATTAAATCTGTTTCCGACGAAAAATCGTTTTGTAAATGTATTAACTTTAAAAGCGTACGGAAGAGCGTAATGGATGTAAAGCAAGTAAAGTAGTTTGCAGTAAAGTAAATTGCACAAGAGAAACGTAAACCAGATTTTTATAGTGGTTCGGTCCTCGTGATCTACATCTACTTCGTCGATTCCTCTTCCGTCGAGGTCGTCGACATCCACTATAGTCTTCTTTCAATGGGCGAAGACCAACTACCCTTTTACACCCCTATTCTCCTTTCCACATGTTTATGAGACAACCTTTTATAATCCTCTTTTACAAGGTATCCCTCTCACACCTTCCTTAGAACTCTCTCTAAGCTTTGGGAGAAGGAAACTCAATTTTTTAAGGTGTTACAATAGAAATATTAAAATAAAAACACTCTATGGTCCGGAATTTGAAGTTTTTGGATCTAAACACACATTTAAACAAGGTTTTACTATTTTTATCCAACTATCTAAAATAGTATAATTTAATTTAAGTTCGGTGGCCATGACCTAACGTAAGAGGAATTCAAACCCTCCTATAAAATTATAGATAGGTTCTTCAAAACCTACTGCTACAACAACAAAAAATATTTTAAAAAAATAATAAGGTTTTTATCATTCAATTTTAACTAAAATCTGACAGTCCATGAAGACCACTAAAAACCTAAATATCAAAATAAAGCATTGATACAACCTATAAAATAATTAATTATAAAGGACTAGTGCAGATGTAGCGAGGATTGAAGTTCTTGAATCCTAGTAACTCTTTTTTTTTTATTGAAGTTGTACTATCTTGATTTTTTTTATCCAAAACAAGAAACTTGGTTTTCCATCATTTACTGCTTAATATCTATTTATTATTGCAGGAATATATTTCCACTTTTAGTTTTTTGGTTATCAATAAATTTACACTTTGCAGGAATATATTTACACTTTTCATTTTGTTGTCTAAAATATAATAATCTGTTCTAAAAGTAGTAAAGTGATTTCTCTAAAAAAGAATTCCTCTTTATGGATTTTTTTCCCTATACGTATCCTAGTTTTTAGTTTTTTTATTTAATATTTTTTTTCTCTAATACCTTAAATATCAATTAATATCTATTTTTCCTTTTTATAATGAATAAAATTATAAATAAGATATTTTATGTAATACTTATATATATTTATATTATTCGATTTTGTTTATGTTTTACATAACATGTAAAGGACTTATAGTAAGTTTAACAATCATATTTTGGTATGAAGATTTTTATGGACAAAGGTTAACAAGGTCAACAATATATGGAGTGGCAAGAACTTGATCATATCATTCTATATGTTACTCATTTCGATGAAGCAAACTCATTTTGCTTGGTGTTAAAGTCAAGGAGATCTTCGAAGCACATACATACTATAATTGTGAAGTATTTGATGGAGAAACTAAGTAGACTCAACTTGTAAAGACTTGTATTATCAAAGAATATATTATAGAACTATCATTCAAATTATCGTGAAGAAAGCGATATACAACGAAAATTATACTAAGGGTAAGGTCTCATGAACTAGACGATAATAGTGCACCAATTGTGGTAAAGTCAATGGACTTTGAGAGTTACTAGGTGATAGATTATTATAAAGTTGTGCTTCATTAGTGTGTGACCCGAGAGCGGGTTAACAAAAGGTGATTACCAAAGGAGCAAACATAATTGGAGATGGTAGACACCTTATGATGTATTAGCAAAGGCCACACATGGAATATCACAGTTCGAGTTCATCCCATAAAGATCATAATGTAATACATATGTCATCAGGAGGCGACATGGCATAACGGATTATAGTGGAATGATTTGAGATAATGCGATACACATGAGAGAAATCTTATGAGAGATTTGATCATACGAAGGTATAATTAGGAGCTCCACTTCGATAAAATAATATGACGATGATAAGGGCTATTAATTCAAGGAATGAATATCATAGAATCATAGAGGTGGGTCTTTTGTGCATTTATCAAAATTTACATTAGATAAAAGTCTTAGTCATCAACATATAATGGTTGTGTACCACTGAGGAAAAATTATGAGTATAAGTTTCAGTGAGTCTCATGGGGGGACTTGATTATACAGATATATGATCGGAGCGACTGAAGAGTTGTATTACTCCAGAGCTCATACTCGCTTAAGGGAGCCTGATAAGTTAGAGAATAAGATCGTATGAGTAAACGTTGCTATCAAGGATGCAAAGAAGAACGGAATCGGCATGAGTTATAATCTATTTTTTTTCGACCAAGGGGAAATGCTCAAAGAATACAAAGGTGTTGAAGCAAGTGATCGAAAGGGGTAAATATGCGACGACGAATCCAAAGAGACAACTACCTAAAATCAAGTATCGGTTAGAATGGAGTGGACTAGAAAGAGTGCCACAATGCCATAGAGGTGGACCTACCAATCATGAAGAAAGTGATGCATATACGAGGTGATGGATAGTAAGGCCATGGGTATGGCAGTGCCATAATACTACAAAGCAAAACTTCTATAGAGTCAACGATCCCTTGCTCTCATAGAGGGAGAGCATATGGCCATGAGAAATGGTTGAGGAGTTGGAGAATGTAAAGATAAATTCTAAATACCGAGATATGGTTAAAGGGTAGAGACTAAGGAACTTCATAAGACCGATATCAACAGGCTTCTCATCAAAATAGCTAAAAGTGGGGTACTTCGGCTCGATATAGAAGTGTCGACTAAGAAACGAAGCAGGTAATACATGGTGTTATACCTTTTCTACTTAAAAGAGTAGACCTTATCGAATGTTATACTCAACTTCATGTGCTTCGATTTATAATGTATAACATTCGATAAGGTGGGTAAAGTTGAGTAACCATTGTCTTCTAATTCTTAAGAGAATGAGTGAAATCGAGTACCTAGTTCTCTTATTTATCTAGTAAATGAGCTTTACATATGTTCAATGACCCTTCGAAGAAAGTAAAAGACAGTAATTATCAAATTCTCACTAATGATGATCAATTATATTAAGAATAGATTATCCACTTCATATTCGAACAGAATATCAATTAGTAAAAGTGATGCATACCTACTTTTGGAGGTAACACTAAGTAGAAGAGGAATTAATGAGCAAATTTTACAAAGGAAAGACTTCAAAAACTTCAAAGTATAAGAGGTGATGCTCATTAAAATTCTAACAAGCATTCACCCAATTCAAGCGGCACGAGACGTTTAAGAGATTGATGTATAACAAGGAATGTATTTTCCTTCATATGAAGGATTCGTATGAACCAACAAAGATCAACACAATTCAACCGACCCTACACAAGAGTTATTAGCAAGTTAAAGTAGTATAGTTGATCAAAGTTTGACTACTCAATTACAGAGAGTAACTAGGCGCAAGAGGAGAGTTGCAATTAGAATAGAATATTGATAGTTCAACAAAGATAAAAAGATGCAACATCCGCAAAGGCTTCGATGAAGATGTTAAAAAAATAAGTGAGAGCAAATGTCATGGACAAACTGTAAATAGGGTGTTCGATATAATACTCGTGTATCTCTATGTCTTTTGATTTTATTTATACTTTGCACAACATATAGATAGCTTATAGTAGGCTTGGTAATCTCATTTTGGTTATTTTTTTTTTTGTCCTTTTAGGATTGTAAATATAGATTATATTCAATCATCGCATAGAGATAAAATTATCTAGAAATAAGCATCCAAGTGATCAATTTTGGTAGTTTTTTAGTTTTATAAAGTGGCGAAGAATGTCCACTACCACAGCACCTAGGAGCTACTCGGGTGACGCATGAATGGATAAGCCTTTCGGATAGTGTCAAGAGCAACCTAGGAGCTACTCGGGTGACGCATGATTGGATAAGCCTTTTGGGTAGTGTCAAGAGCAAATTCGTTATTTTATTCTCCAATAGTAACACGTGAACACTTGTAAAAACTTTTAGTCGTGACAAACCACGTTGGACCCTTTGTCGTATGATCACTCATATGTTTATAATTTACATTATCTACTAAGTGATTGTTGAAATAATTATTTGTTAGATTTCGAATTGGAAGACTGATGTTTGACAAATTAAAGATACCATAAGACTTAGACAATACCAATTAAGTACATGCCACTTCATTGCAATGATAGATAAAGTAACAAAATAAAAACGACCGGAACCGAAATGATAACCACGATGAACGTTTACAGAAGCAAATGATACGACCGACTACAACAAAGCGAAAGTGGCAGGGTGAAAGTAACGACGCCAACGACGGAAGTATTTAAAATATTAGAGAATAAATAAATCGACAGCACCTTTCCAAAAAGATCAAACAAAATTTCAGAAAAATCACCCAAAATAATATAAGCATGAGATTTTTTTTTTCCAGAAAGCATATTGGTCCAATCCATTCCAGGATACATTTAAATTCTTCGGTTCTCTGCTTGCTAAACTCCAACCGGCATTCATAAGAAATATGTCTTCATTTACATTAAAAAAAAAAAACCAAGTTTCTCTGTTCAGTGCCGTAACTCTGAAACCAATTTAAGAAGGTAAAGGGAAACCAGATCAACAGAGGGTATGTTTTCCAGCTTCCTATGATGACAAAGCATGAAACTTTGAAATTTGTTAAACAGCGGAAAAACAAACACCACCATCAGCCGCAAATTTTTGCATATAAACAGGAGGTTAACACCTAGAAGGTGATCAGATCATCCTTTTTCTCCTGCTGCTTCTTTTTCGGATCCTGATCCTCGGATGTGCTGCCGCCCTTTTTTCCAAAGATCATCTCGTCGAGGTCGTTTAAGATGTCATCGTCTCCACCTGACTTGGTTCTTGAACCTGCTGGTTTTCTGATGAGGGCATCCTCTCTGCTGGCTCGAGGAGACTCGTCGGGTTCCACAGCAACTGGTATCATGGCAGGCACGGGTTCAGACTGCACTACAGGAGGCTTCTTCAGCTCTTCATACTTGGAGAGGACTTTCTGGAGTTCATCATTCACGTTTAGGGCCTCAAATAGCACAGCTTCGTCGTCACCTGCTGTCTCAACAATTCTTTGAACAGTGTATTGACTTTGTTGGCACTGCTGGAAGAGGGTTTTTGTCAAGTCATCCTGCTCATAGAGAGAATATTAGAGACTGACCAGATAATCTCATGACATTTATTTTTAAGTTTCAATATGATAACGCGAAAAAAGAGTTACTCCTAAGCCGAAGTAGTATGCATACAATTTTTAGAGAGAAACCTTGGAATTACAGCATTATATGGATCTTAGATGTGCTTCAATTCTGCTCATTGTACATTATGATGTCTTTTAAGATTCTCTGGTATAATAGTAAAAAGTTCCGTTAATCAGAAGATTAAAAAGATAATCCTAAATTAAAAAGGGCATCAATATTTAACATCTTAATATCAATTTGTCTATATGTTCATTGAGTGAGAAGATGATCCATGTTAAGAACTCAAGGTTACTGCAAAGCCTAGTTCAAATAAAGAACATTCTTTAGAAAACATCTGCCAAGTAAACAAAAGAAAGAAAAAAAACTCTGTTTAGGCAAACTAAGCTATCTACATATATTAACTGAATCACCATGCCTTTTTAAGTCATAAATATATATAAGTTGTACAAAAGCATATTTGCACAATGTCCAGTGATCTATGTAGAAGAAGAGAGCATGTGACAACAACTCACTCTGTAGATTAAGTTAGTTTCACACATCATGTCAGTCAAAGTTTTGGTAGATATTAGAAGGGTCTTAATCATATTTGTTAGGTGCAAGTCTAATCAAGTCGATTTGTACCATTAATCAACACCAACAGAATGAAACATTAGCAATTCCAAGTGCAACATAATGTTGCTCTTAAATTAGACACCTTAAGCAATTTCAGTTTAGAATGCTCAAAGTAGGTTACGGGAATCTGACCAATAGGGTGCATAGCTAAAGTATTAACATATTATTCACGTACCCAAAAAAAATACAAGTCTAACATGGAAAAACGCTCTACTAGATCAGAAAACAGCAACAAAGGTAGACACCCAAATGGAACAGAAATCAAATGAAACTAGTGTAAGAATAACAAACCTGGACTGCTAAATAGTTACCTTCAGTTCAAATTGTTGGACTTAACAGTTTATCATGATCTCTGTTGCAAGCGTTCTAGTACAAAACAGAAGCTCCTCAAACACTAGGTACACATTAACATATTGCACATACTTGGGATCATAACAGTCAGCTTACTAGTTTAAAGTTATCTTACAACCATTTTTATGTTGTTTATACAACAAACTAATTCAAAGTAAAATAGTTCAATTAATTTTTCCTGACTTCATCAGTACATATTAACAAAACCATATATGAAATTAAGAATAAAACACTGAAGCATAACAAATCTAAAAACATCTGCAGAAAGATCGATGGGCCTGCAGCTGAAAGAAAACAGCTCTGGCATCTATCTGTAAAATTTTCAGCAGAAATTTAAAGAAAAAATGCAGAAAAGAAAGATGTGCAAGTAAAATTCTCCAAAAACTCCGATGTAAACAAAGCTTATCTTTTTAAGTATAGGATCAATCATCATGGACTAGCTCTGCCATCACGAGACATAAGTGACAAGAGAAGAAAAAGACAGACAGAGACTAGGTATAGTACAATATTAATCCCTGCAAGAAATGCCCATTTAAAATTCATTCTTTCTGGCAGTTAAGGTTTTACACAAAATTATTCAAAATTTTCATCGTGTTTGATCTCTTAGTGGATGAAAAGACCTATTAAACTGGGTTCAAGATCAGCCGATGTGATGTTGTTCTCTCTTTATACAATCATAGAGCTCAGTAAGGTAGTCACTAATCTCTGGGTTTTACTTGGATTATAAAATTGTAAAAATATGGAACCAGGTTATATATTCAGTCATGTCTCAGATACATATGTTCCATCATTTGCTCCACTCTAGTAATCTTTCACCTATTCTAGGTCACAGTAATATCAAATTTCAAAGACACTCTGCTGGTAGTAAAATTATGACAATATCTTCAAACATACAGAACAAGAGACATAAATCAATTTCAGATCAATTCAATATAGTAAATCTTGGAGATGCTTTGACATACTTCCTCAATTACTAGGTAAGTTTTGGTCGTCAACAAGACAAAAATACATACCACCTGAAGACAAATTGCCATCTAGATGAATGTCATTATGAAAAGCAAAATAATATAACATAAATCTACCTCCTCTATCGGAAAAAGGTTAAAAAGAAAGCATGGATATTAAATTATGTGATCAAATTAAATCACCTGTAAAGCTTCTTGATGAGGTGAAGAGGACAAAACTGTTGATAGAAGTTCGATACTATTGCGGGCAACATCAAATGCCTCCTTTATTTGTTCAGCAGTAAAACTATGCACAGGAGTATCATCATATGTCTGCTGAGCAACATTGTCATATGCTTCTTCTGTTTCTGAAACTGACCGTGGAGGTGTAAATATTGGAGCTAAGCTTTCGTTATCTCGCCCTGGGAACCGAACGCCTCTAGATTTCAAGCTCTACAAGAGGCAAACAATCCATCATGAACCTGAAACCAATCAATCCAACATCTAGACAAGGCTATGTCCTCATAATTAAATATCAAATGATTCATCCGATCAATTTGCTCAGTGTATTGAAGAATTTAAAAAGATGACCAGAAAGCAATTTAGTCTATAAATAGAACAAGAGAACATTTAACTATCAATAACAAAACTATACTATAAAAGAAGATAAAAGAAAAGAACATCATGCTGAGAGACTGTCTACAAACTCTTTAAGTCATAATGTCTAGGTTAACGAGTTCGCATCTAGTTTATGAAAGCAAAATATTCATGACAAAATGCAAAATGAAATTTTAAAAACAGTGCATAAAGCTCATATAATCCATGCTAAAGTACAATTTCTTACAAACTTAACATAGAGTGCAGATGCCAAACTTTCTTGCACAAAGAATGATATCAATGAATGAAAATGACATCTATCATCTTTTCGCAATAAGCATAATGATGACAACCTATGCATGATATAAGAAGCTTAACAGTAGACCCAGGCCGGACAATGGTCCATACGAACAAATGCTTAATTAGAGGTTGCCTGGAGAATCACATATGATGCCCTCAAGGAACCACAATTTTAGCTACAGGTGCAGGTTGAGTGGTGCTAGAAAGAAATATTCTGATCTGCAAACACTAAGAACAGCTGCCACATGCCAATTATTGATGTAACTAACCAGTGATTGCAAAAGGCGCTCGGGCGCTCGCCTAGGCGCTCGGGCGAGGCGAGGCGAGGCCCGAGCGCCTCGCTAATGTCCCAGGCGGCGCGCTTCAATCAGGCGTCGCCTGGGCGCTCGCCCGAGCCCAGGCGCTGGGCGCTTCGGGCGAGCGCCTGGGTAAACCGAACCAGAATTTTAGGTCTGGTTCGGTCCTGGTTCGGTTGTTAGTTGGTTCAATCGAACCAACTAAACCGATATAACCCCAACCCTAACCTGCTGTCGCTGCCGATCACTGCTCGCGCCTCCTGCGAGCCCTCCTGCTCGCGCCTCCTGCGAGCCCTCTCACTGCTCGCGCCTCCTGCGAGCCCTCCTGCTGCTCGCGCCTCCCGCGAGCCCTCTCGCTGCTCGCGTCTCCTGCGAGCCCTCCCGCGAGCCTTCCCGCTGCTCGCGCCTCCCTCGAGCCCTCCC